TATATATATATATATATATATATAACTTCATCATCATAGACGGAGAATTTGTTATCTTAAAAAACTTTTGTGTTTAAATCTTTCATAATATAGCTAAAAAGTGTAAGCAATGGAAATAAAAAAAAAGTACATTTTATAGAGGACGAATAAAGCAATCAAATAGCACAGAGTTTAAAAAGAATTCAAGTCATATGTTATCAATTCCGAATTAATTTTCAGTTGCAAAAAGAATTCTTTTGCATTTGAAAATGAACTCAGAATTGATGATACACGACTGAATATATGAATGAATGCTTTTTAAACTCTCTGTACTGTCTGGGCATTCATAACTTCTGATTGGAATTTCAACATAAAAACATTAATCTTCTTTGTAAAAGAATATCAAATATCGCCAAAGAAGTCATTTCTTGACATTATTATAATTAATCTGACATTAGCCTGGATAAATAATTGAGATAATTGATAAATTATCAATTGACTTAATTATCTTGAAAACCTGACGTGCTGAATTTTTTTTGCTTGCGACATCGTTTTCAGCATTTAAAAATCTATATAAGATACACCTAATTCGGTTCAAAGTAATTTTTACTGTTAATTAATATAATTATGTAATTGATGACTTGTTATCAATTACTTACTCTCGCGTTTACTAACGACATTCTTACCTTGTCTTACATCTTCTATAGAATCAACAGTGGCATCGATCTTCATGGCCTCGAAATCATCGGATCCGTATAAATTGCCCTTCTTAGCGATAAAGCGTCCAATGGCCTTGGACTGATAATATTGGTTACCATCGATCTCCAGAACTGGCATTTGTCCCATGGGCATGTCTGCAATTTTATAAAAATATACCATTACCGCAAAACAATATCTGTTCCATTTGCGCGTTTACGATAGGAACACGACTAAATGTTCGTAGAAAAATAAAACTTTATTTACGCAAAGATAATTTAAAAAAATAAATTTTATAATAAAAATCAATATTTAGATGGAATATATATTGAAATTATGACCATTTCGTAATTTAAAGAAATAACGTATGAGATAATGTACTTGGTTTATACTTCGGCCAATCCTCGTGGCTGATTCGGACATCCTCGAATTTGATTCCGCAATGATTGAACATAAACCTAATTGGTTCCCCAAGGCCGGTGACGTTGAAATACATTAGCTTGTACGTCGGCATGTTCTGAAAATTGTATAAATGTGAGAATATATATATAAAATATCACTCTTCATTACCTTGTAGGTTGTAATCCGATATCTCGTAAAAGTCAAGACTCTGGTAATCGATGCGGAGCTGTTCGCAGACCGATAATGACTGAGCGTTTTGTTAGATACTGCGTATCTAGTTGCTAAAGATATCCAGACATGTTTTTACCAGGAAAGATGATGAAGGCATATAATGAATGAATTTACACACATACATATAAAATTATATTTAACAGAACACACGTGCGGAGATCAATGAAAAGAGAAGCATTTCTTTTATTTTCTAATGAAATTGAGATGCCTCATCGCTGAGCAGTGGATGCATGAAATTATATTAAAGTCTATCATTACAGTAATAAATAGAATTTTTCTCACATGTAACATTTTGCTGCGTTTTTTTTTTTATGTCGAATACAAGATGTAATTTTTTAATTGTTTTTAGCTTTTTATTTAACAATTATAAACGATGAAAAAATTAGCCATTAGGCAATTACATAAAAAATTATAAAGAATTAAAATAATTTTATATTGTTTGTAACACTATAATATATGATCCGATGTTATCAAAATTATATGTTATCTATGATACACGTAAATTTTATAATTACGCAACGTTTTGAAACAGATAAGTATAAGAGGATTAGAAATAGGAAAAGCAATAAGCACATACTTTTACTGAATAGAAAAGATTTTATTTCCTTTTTATATGTGTTACATAATAATATTAGTTATTACAGAGAAATTGATTACAGCTATTCGGAAATAACACATTAGCATATGCTATTCTTTTACAAAACGGAAAGAGAATAGTCATTAAAGAACGATGTCGACGTGTAACAAATCAAAGGAAGTGCATAAAGTAAAAATCGCTTTATTTACAATTGAGTCTTGGGTCGTTTCTCGAGGTAAGCTTTAACGTTGGGCAAAGCGCGAACTTTCTCCACTAGCTTCTTCAATTCGGGATGATCTTTGTTCGGATCTCCGGCCAGGATGAAGCTCAGATAGTCACAATTCCCAGCCCACAGGAAATCTGCCCACGACAACTAAAAACAACAAAAATGTATTTTTGTCTCTTTACAAAAACAAATGTAACAAAACGAAGGTCAGCAGCTTGGCACGCAATCAAAAATTATTACCTTGCCACCGACAAAGTGTCCGCCGTTCTTCTTAACCTGTGCCTCAAATTTGTCGAGATAGATGGGCCATTTTTGGAAGGCAGTCTCCTTGAGTTTCGCTTTGAAGGCGGGGTCTTGTTCCCAATAATAAAGGGACATAGCTGTCAAAATAAATTTGCATTGTAGTTTTTGCGTCGCGCAGAGATAAAAAAAAGTTTCCGTCATAAACCGCGATAGCAAGAGGAGCGATAATTACACAAGGCGCGACAATCATTCGGGAAATATACGGTTTGTTGATTTCAAAGTTTCAAACAGCCACTTTATGCGGAGTACCTTCATAACATTAGATCCCTAAATAGGCGTGTGCGCAGTATATGCATGCACTACTGATTAATCCCGTCGACGTGGAAGACTCGAGAAGTTACAATAGTTGATTGTTGTTTTGATGATTATGTAATTGACCACCTGTTGTTCTCTCGCGTTTTCTGACCGCTGATCATTCTTACCTTGTCTTATATCATCCATAGAATCAATAATAGCATCGATCTCCATGGCCTCGAGATCGTCATTTCCGTATAACTTGCCCTTCTTCGCGATAAAGCGTCCGATGGCTCTAGACTGATGATATTGCTTACCGTCGATCTCCAGGACCGGCATTTGTCCAAAGGGCATGTCTGCAATTTGTAAAAATTATTAGATTATTGCCAAACAATATCTGTTCTGTGTGCACGTTTACGCTAAAAACGTGACTAAATAGAACGTAGAACAATAAAACTTGACGATAAATACGAGGAATTTACAATTGCTTTACAAAGTAAATTTTATAATGCGAATTAATACGAGTAGATGAAAGAGCAATTAAAATTATATTATTTTGTAATCTCAAAATAATAGCATATGAGGTAACATACTTGATTTGTACTTTGGCCAATCATCGAAGGAAAGTCTAACATCCTCGAATTTGATGCCCAAATGATTAAACATGTACCTAATTGACTCCCCAAGACCGGTAACATTAAAATACGTTAGCTTGTACGTCGGCATCTGAAAATTATAAATAATTATAAAAATTATATTAAAATTGTAAATAATAAGTATTTGAAAATGAATGTATAAAATAGAATTTCACTAGTTTTTACAAAAGTTTAAATCGCTCGACTGGCATGTCAAGCGATTTAATGCCAGTAAATGCTATTCATACAATATAATTAACACACGCATGTAGTACATATATTATATTCAAAACACTTGTTAGATATTAAATACAATATTCATTTAGATTTCTTTAAATAATTGCTGTTGGTCATTAATTATGAAAAGTAATTAGAAATATAATTAAATTTAGCTTCTGACATTACGTAATTCAATTAGCAATTATCCTTATGGCAACTATAATATATTTGATATTTAAAAATAACTAATTTTCTGAAATATTAATTTAAATTACATCGAAATAAGCGTATTTCTAGAAGCAGGTTACAAAATAGGAGATATAATTCCTCATTACCTTGTAGTCTATAATCCAATCTTTCTAAAATGTCGAGGCTCTGCCAACCGATGTGGAATTGTTCGCGGACGGAGAACGACTGAGCGCGAGTGTTTCGTTGAAACGGTACTGCGTATATCCAGTTGCTTAAGGACATACATTTTTTTACCAAGAAGAGAATTATGGAGGAATACTGGATTCGTATACACACAATACACATACAGAATTACATTTCACACAGCGTGTAGAGGTTGCGTGTTACGCTAATGAAGAATGAAGGAAAGAAGAATGCAGGTCTCTTATTTTCTCATGAGATTGAAATGCTAATCACGGAACGCTTTGAATTATATCAAAGCCTATATACCATTGCAATAGCAAATGAAATTTTTCTCACACATAACATTTTGCTATACGTATTCGCTTTACGTCAAAAACAGGTAATTTTTCTTTAGTTTTTTATTTAACATCTACAAATGATTAAAAATTAGTCATTGCCATTAGTCAATTACACATCATAAAATAAAGTGATAAAAAGTCAAGATGATTTAGTACTATCGATAAGATCTTGTTTTAATGAAGAAACTGTAGATTGGTTGTTATCAAATTACAAAAGTCGAGATCGATTACAATATAATAATTATATGTTTTTAAATAGATAAGTTTTTAAAAATATTTTGTTAATATTTTGTTTTGTATTTTAATAATAAAATGATTACGCGATGTTTCGCCAGATAATAACGCTTTACATGCAAAATAATTTGCTAGCCATATGCTTTTCATAAATATTTGCTATATTTGTAAATTAATGACCGTGTTATCAGAATTTATCGTCATTGAGGTGCGGTTTTATACATTATGTGCAATATATAATACACATATCGTTACGTAAACTGTTTCATTATGCCTCTGCGCGCTATTAATAGCGACTTGTTATTTTTCAATGACTTGCAAGTTTCACGCGCATAAAAATATAATGAAAGATGAGTAAATAAACATTAAATATCAAGATGTTAATAACGGAACAATTACAATTTTGATATTTAATATTAAGAAAATTAAGAAGTTATAATTATTTATTATAAATAAAAAATATACGTGCAATTTTAATATTAAGAAAAGAATACGTGAGAAATAATGCAAAAAATTCATTAACTTAGGCCTTATTTTTTAATTTGAATTATCGAACTTTTTAATGTGTCTTTTAATATTGATACTTATATTCATACATAAAAAATTGATACGTATTAAATCTTTAAGATATTTTCTGTATATTACTATCTCTCTGTATATATAACGTACAAATGTAACAAATTCTTTAAAGACCTGCTTATATAGAGATCTTTAGAAAACACAAATCAGTTAGAATTCACACCTACAATAGAAAAAGAATTTTTTTCAAGCATTTAATATTGCAAGAATATTTTTGTAAAAAATCTATTGATCAATAATATTATTTTATCGATTTTTTTTGCCTAGAAAGGCTAGATGTATTCGATGTAATCGTCACATTGCGGCGTGGTACATAGAAAACTCACGTTTTCAATCTAGTGAATAGTCATGGACCCTCCTCAATTGCAACTAAATTGTGCGACCTTCGGTTGCATTACAGCTACACACTGTGGGTAACATTATAAGCGCAAGCATAAAAGCCATATCATGATATCACCGAAGAGGTATAATGCTATCTTCAATGCTATCCGGTGTGTAAAAGTAGATAGGGGGTTATCAGCATTTCGTAATCATCAACTTAATTACTCTGCATATATTTTATCACACACGCCCATTTGTATCAATAGCGCTTTGCAGACAGATATCTATTTATGCGAATATAAGTATTCAAGTTACTCAAAATATTTAAGATATTCAATCTAGACCTCTTGGCTCTGTGAAATTCATGACTCTACACTTAATATTACTATTAATTTTCTTCGATGTGAAATCGTCTCTAGAAGCCTAACGTATAACTAAAACTATATTTTAATTTAAATACAAAAATCATTTTAGAAAATAAAGAAGTAATTACATGGTGAATACTATAGAAATATAAATGTAAAATTGTAACAAATTGAATATGGAAAGGTGGGTTTTACGAATGCGAAAGAAATTATCAAAAAATAGTGCAAAAATAGCGATTTATTAAGATACAAAATTATATAATGAAAAAAATAGATAGTTTTTCAACATGTAATTTCAAATAATCTTATGTTATTTTTATTATTGCCATACGACAATAACAGTAACAATTAGTCTTCAACGAATGATAAAATATACATTTGTATCTTCTAATGCATAAATTTTAGATCTATCGTATGAGCCCGTCATACACGTAGCGTTTGAAAGAAAGAAAAATAGATATTTTATTCTCAAGTCAAGCATCAATAATTAGCTCTGTTAAAAAAACCAATCATAAGTCAAAATTATTCCGATTTTCACATGTAATTTTCATATTTAGTTGGCGGACGTTTCTCGATCCAATTTTTAATGGCCGGTATCTCCTCGATCTTCTTTTGGAGTTGTTTAAGATTCTCATATTTCTCGACAATGTTCTCTTTCATACAAAAGTTCATGTAATCCAAGAGACCAACGAAAGTGAAATCAGCCCACGTTAGAGCACCGCCGACAAAATAACCGCCGTTCTTCTTCACCTGAGCATCCAGACGCTCCAAGTAATATGGCACCGTCTCATCAACAACTTCGATCTTCTGTTTTTTAGCCTTCTCGTAGATTCTATAAATATCTAAAAGGCCATATTATATTTAGTATAAGTAAAAAAAAAAGATAAATAAAGATAACGACAATGTTTGAATTAAATGTTTCAGCGAATAAAATTAACTTTGCGAAAGGTCCGTTTGCGTTATCAAGATCTGAATACACCGAAGTCGTGAATTTCGAATCTGTATTCAAGCAAATGTCTGCTTCTGGTAGATAAGAGTTCAGATAAAAACTGAGTAAACAGAATAGTATTTGCTAACTTTCACATAAATCTTGTAAGGTATCGACAGTTGAGTCGATTTCCAGGGATTCCCAATCATTTTTGCCGGCAAGGCCGCATTGCTTCGCCAAGTAGCGACAGATAGCTACGGACTGATGGATTCTCTTTCCGTCTACTTCAAGCACAGGTACTTTGCCGAATGGCATGGCTGAAAGATGATATTAAGGCACGTGAATGTCACATGTTGATAAAATCGAATCATATATATTAGAGAATTAGATGTATCGTACGTACTCTGTTTAAGTTTCGGCCAATCATTCTTGTCGATACGTTCATCCACAAACTCGATGCCAGCATAGTTGAAGACCAAGCGAATTGGCTCGGCCAACGCCGTAAGATGGAAGTAAGTCAGCTTATAGGAAGGCATGTTGCTGAAAGAAAAAGCATAATTATTATTCTGCTCTTCATCATCTAATTCTCGCAACATGAAGATATTATTTAATGGCGGATAATAATATTAGCTTACAAAAAAATTTTTTTTAAATTATTTTAAACTAGACAATGTAACGTCATAAATATTATTTATTCCCTATAAAATGGATTTTTTTATTTCGATATCTTACATCTTAGCCATGTGTGAAGGATTTAAATATAGAATTTTGCTAAATTAGTAAATTTGCCTATAACGATGAAGTCAAATTATATACTTATATATATTTTAATTACAGCTTATGGCTATCGATACACATACATAATGTAATATAAGTAATTTAATCGTGATAGATTCCTAAATGTAAAGTTTAAATAGTTACAAAACCACGTAATTTATTAAAAAGAAAATTCTCACTCACAATATTGTACGATACAAACTCTTAGTTTATAGAGACATAAATGCATGACGCATAACTTACGCTGTAACTCACGTTTTTTTTCTTATCTATGATTATAAAACTAAATGCATGAAAAAATAGCACAGAAGTTTTTAGATTTAATATATTAGCATAACATTCATTTATTTGCAACTTGTAGATTTACACAATTTGACTTTTATCATACAAATATTTTTAAATAGTTTTTCAGCAAATCACTTTAATATCATAGTGTGCTTATTATACATAAAATGTGTCTTGTATACGGTGATATAAAACATATGTATAAAAACGTCAAAATTTTTATTTGAAAAGCTCTGTAAAATAAATGTACATTCAATTAACATTACGCAATTATCAGATTTCTTTAAATGATGTGTCTTCTTATTCATTATAATTGTGTTATATAAAATATAACAATTCTAATATTGATAAAAGATATCATTATTAATAATGAGGCACTTTTCTGTTCACATTCTTGGCTATTTAATACCTATTTTCTCTAACGCGGTATGCCAATCTCGTGATTACACCAAATCGATATTATCGTTATTATTGTTTTATCATGATGACAAGATTAATTAATTACTATCACAATCGTCACTAATTTGCCGGCCGGCACAATCAGGCGATGGCTACGAAAAGCTATTATGTAAGATTTTCGATGTATTATCACATATTTACAGTCTTGATTCAACTAGTCAAGTTTAAATCTAAACAGATAAGAATGAGCAAACTTTTCTTACAATTTCACGAACTCTACACAGAAAGAAAAAACATATGTGTCGCAACAGTCACAAATGGCGACGTTCGATGGTAGAGCTAACTGCTAAACTCGTCTATTCATTTAGCCCCCTACTAGTTCAACATCCCCACTTCATTGGTGTTCACGTGACTCACTTGAGCTCCAAAAGAAACTTACTAGAAAGATAGAAGCAAGAAATTTCCTGCAAAATACAACTAAAAAAAATATTATAAAAGTCAAAAAGACATTCCAATTTTTCATACCTGTCTTAACCCTTTGGACATATATCTATCACGTATCCTACCCTAATAGTTTTTTACATTATTTGAAATTAAGAAACGTAGATGGATTATAATAAGACTGAAAAAATAAGCTTTGCAAGTACAAAAAAAAATCAACAAGAAAATAGTAAAAATAGCGATTTATTGAAATACAAAATTATAATACATAATTTAAAATAAAGTTTATTTTCCAAAATTTAATTGGAAATTATCGTATAGCATTTTCATTATTATCATACGACAATAGGAATAACAATCAGCCTTCAACGAATTAAAACATATAATTGTATCTCCAGTACATAGCTCAAGAATCTATCACTACCTTTTGTAGTCACATTTGGAAAAAAGAGGAATTCATATATTTTATTCAAAACAAGCAAAAATTCAAATTATTCAACGAACAATACTCAGTCGAAAAATAATTTTATGAAATTAATTACTCGAATTAATTTGCCACGAAGATAGATTTTGGACGTTTTTGGATCCAGCTCTTGATGGCCGGTATTTCCTCGACTTTCTTTTCGAGTTGCTTCAAGTTCTCATACTTCTCGACAATGTCCTCTTTCATCATGAAGTTCAAGTATTCCAAAAGAGCAACGAAAGTGAGATCGGACCATGTCAGAGCACCGCCGACGAAATAACCGCCGTTCTTCTTCACTTGAGCGTCCAAACGCTCCAAATAATATGGCACCGTCACCTTGGCAGCTTTAATCTTCTCTTGTTTAGCTTGTTCATTGCTCTCGTAGTGGAAACCAGCAATATCTAATACAAGCAAAAAAAAAAGATAATTAGACATACAAGATATGACAAACGGTTCGGATCAAATATTTTAGTAGAGCGAAACATCAGTGTAGAAAAATATATTTCTTTCTTATATTATCATTGTTTGCGAATAAATCTGTTCGTACTATCGAGATAAATCCATCAATATCGTGATTCAAATTGTGAAATTGAAGTGATTCTATTTTAAAATTAAATCTTTAGTTGGCTCTAATAAATAAAAGAGATAAATATTGTATAAAAAGAATGTTATCTATATACTCACTGGCGCGTAAATCGTGTATAGTATCGACAATCGAGTCGATTTCTAAAGACTCCCAATCATTCTTGCCAGCAAGACCACATTGCTTCGCCAAATAACGGCAGATAGCTACGGACTGATCGATTTTCTTTCCATCTACTATCATTACAGGT